TTTACTTAAAATTATTTGGCAGAGAATTCGACACTTTAATGATGGTCTGGGCCTGGCTGGGGCGATGGCACGCGTGCCCACAGAGAGGGCTCTGAGTGCCACCTCTGGCACCCGTGCCATAGGTTCGCCACCACTGGTTTAGAGGGAGCATTGATCCCCACTACTCATTTTATGGTTGTCAACTATTTGATCATTATGCCAAACTCTGAATACAGATGTTTAATGTTAGATTTGTTGTTGTTGTTGTTCAGTCGCACAGTCGAGTCCGACTCTTCGCGACCCCATGGACCAGCGCCCGCAACCATCTCATCCTTTGCCGTCCCCGTCTTCTTTGGCCTTCAATCTTTCCCAGCATCAGGGTCTTCTCTAGTGAGTGCTCCCTTCTCATTTGGTGGCCAAAGTATTTGAGCTTCATTTTCATTATCTGGCCTTCCAGGGAACAGTCAGGGTTGATTTCTTTTAGGATTGACTGATTTGATCTTTTTGCAGTCCAAGGGACTCTCAAGAGTCTTCTCCAGCACCATAGTTCAAAAGAATCTATTCTTCGGCGCTCGGCCTTCCTTATAGTCCAACTCTCGCAGCCATACATGACTACTGGGAATACCATTGCTTTGACCATGCGGACTTTTGTTGGCAGGGTGATGTCTCTACTTTTTATCATGTTGTTTAGGTTCGCCATCGCTTTCCTCCCAAGGAGCAGGCGTCTTTTAATTTCATGGCTGCTGTCACAGTCTGCGGTGATCTGGGATCCCCGCAGATTAGTGTTAGATTAGTGTGTTAGATTAGTGTGATGCAATTCTCTTCCAACAGCGAAATACATAGGAGGGCTTAAAGGCATTCCCTGGATGAAAAGGAAGTGCTCTGGTGCTTCTGGAGCAATAGAAAAAATCTCACCTTGTCCTTTGTTTGTTAAAGCCACCTGTGACATATTGGGAGCTCTTGTTAATTCTGACGTTCAGTGCTCTAGTAATTAATCTTGAAATTGTTGTTCTCTAATGATATGGGCTGGTTGGGAGCTGTTGCCAAATTTCT